CACGGCAAAAGGAAAAGACATGAAGAGATTTTATTTCCCAATACATAAGGGAATGCAATAATGACTAATTCTGGTGAGGGAACAAGAGGGAAAGACACAGAGCAGTGCATTCATCTAAAAATATGCAGCATTTTTCAAGGTGAATTTAACTGTAGCCCTCTGAAAAAGAATGGACTATTGCCTAGATCAAAATTGTTTCGTAATAACCATTTTTACCATTAAATTGCAGTGCTCTTGACTTTACAAAACGGCAATCCTCCAGAAGGAAACTGATTTGGATCCAGCCTGATTTCCCATTTTTATCAATTATGGGACAAGCTTTAAAAAGTGAATAACTATTTCCTGGAAGTAAGCAGTTGCCTTCCGTTTTCAAATGTTCTGAAGAGTACTTGCTTATTCTATTCTTACAACTGTGCAAATGTAAACAAACTAATCTTATTTAAAATTTGATATAATTATACAGTATAACATACTCAATATTTCAGCCATAAAATACTATGTATATATACACATGGCATTCTAGTTGATGTTGAATAAACATAAGAAATGATTATCATAAATTTATAATGGAATGAACAACAGAAGCTTTCAAATTTAATTTATTGAAACTTGTGTAAAAATTTCCTTCATTACCTGTCCTCCATAATAAAATTCCTCAGAGTCATTATCTCCTTCAGAGTCTTCTTCAACTGTGCTGTTGTGCCGTGACTCCTTAATGGAAAAGGAAAGTTAACAATGATTACAAGCACTATGCTTATCTTGCATTTATAGTTCTAATTATAACTACAGGAATTATATTTTTACAAATAAGTTCACAGCACCCTTTATCAGTAGATCTTGTAGTATCGTTTTTCCAGAAGAGTGCTAAGGGCCCATTTTAAGCATAGCGAAATATCAGACAAAACAAGCACCTACTAACTGGGTACATAAACCCACCCTGAATATATGTTGGAGAAATAATACTCTGTCTGGCGACAGAGGCAGAGTGGCATTTTAGGGAACTGGGGAATTCAGTAGACTATGGGGGGATACTTCACTCTGTGCTTTTGCTAAACAAAACATAATTTACTCACCAAGACAGGTTCTGGACTGAATTCATTTGGCGTTTCAGTGATCGAATAACATTTTAGTTTACTTTTTATTCTGGTAAATCAAGTCTAATAGACTAAGGAAATAATTTGAGTCTGAGCATTTTAAGCAGAAAGTTCCTTTCTGCTTAAAACTGACACATTGCTGCTTAACTACTATTTTTAACAGAAGTACCAGCCTGTTGCCAGAAAAGTTCAAACTTAATTTTCGGACTAGCTCTGTTCTGAGACTTTGAAAATTAAGAATTAGAAAGTAATATGCTTACCCAAGTAAAACCTGCTCTAAATAGGCTGCTCTGTGAATAATTGCACTCAAGTAAATAGAACTGATCCTGGTACAGACTGCAACTCAGCATGAGCTGAAGTGCTACATTCTGCTTCCCACCAATGGAACCTTTACTTATAATTATGTAATTGCTTGAAGATATTAATTCTTGTTTCACACAATCCATTGTGTTATTTCTAGGCCCTATGCTGACAAGGGTCCCCTAAGGAACACCTGTTAAAATCATAATTCTACACTTCAACCTGAACATGATGTACTTACTGCTTATTTTGTATTTTTGTCCTGCACAGAACTGCCATAATGGAATAGAAATCAGATGTATGAATCAAAGAATAGAAGTTACCCCTAAATCCCATATATTCATGAATGTCAAAAATATCCTTATCACCAATTTCTATGGTCAGACATTCTAATCCCATTTCCCTACCTTTGCCTCTAAATTCCTGCTCTATTCACTGTATGTATACATAGAACAAAAATTCTATTTCAGCCAATTTCATGGCAATTTTCCACGACAAGGCATAAAAATAATTTCTGCTTCCACTTCACTGAAAAGAAACAAAGTGACTTTAGTCTTCTTTGTTTTACAATAACCTTAGCTCAAGGGGAAGTCTGTGTTAAAACAGAACTCAACTGAACAAAAATTCAACACAAAGCAAAGAGAAATGAAACTCTCATATTAGAATAATGAGAAAACATCCCATCCTAACCAAACCTCTGTCTAGCCAACAGAAATGGTCAGTGTTAGAAACTTTTTTTAAAGGTTTTTTTTCAGTACTTTCATATTTAAGTACCTCATTCAACTAGAAACAAAATAAAGGCTCAAACTCTGTCCCATCGAAGCTAACCATATCTCAGGCTTTTAATCAGATGGGTAAATTCTTCCTGCACTTGACTTTTTCTAATGTTTTCCGAGCACTGAATTTAATGATGAGGCAGTAGAAGCAAAGTATTTCCAAAGCAGCTTTTTGAAACAAATCAGGTTCCATCTACTAAAAAACCCAACCATACACATTAGCACATCTGAGCATGTTTATTTCACCTTTCCAGGATCAAACATGTATTTGAGGCTAAAAAGCAGTCCTCAAGACATTTAGCAACCACCCTTACCAACGGAAGTTTTTAAAGTCAACCACCTGAATTCTTGATAGAGCATTCAATTTCTTGCTGAGGGCTGGAGCCTATCTGCTACTTTCTTTGAGCCTGTAACACTGTCAAGCCCTGTAGACTTCAGTTTATGCCACTTCTTTCTTGAGTTAATGTCTCAGTGAGACTGGTCAGGGACCCATGCCAGAGGGACAGCACAAATACAGCCGTGACTGGAAGGCCTTGATACTCCAGTCACTACTTATGGTGAATAGTCATGCAGAGGTCTAGAGCCTCCAGTGGGGCTGCTGTATAGGCCAAGGGAAGAAGCAGTGAGCTGATAAATGGGATGTGGTCCTACGTGCAAGAGTAGGTTAAAAGGTAACAGCATCATGATCAACTTCTCCAGGAAAGATGTATTTTTAGGGCAGACAGCGTCTATAACACTGCTGAACAACAAATGAAATAAATGCCAAAATCGTGTTTCCTAGGATGGGAGCATCCCTATCCCAAATAAGTGATTCACTAGTTAATCCATGTATGAAACCCAGAGAACTACTGGGAGAGAACCCAGAGAACATCTTCGAAAACATGTAAACATGCACAGTTTGCATAAGCACACATTTGATAAGAGATCTATGGTATACACTCATATTTTATTATTTTCTGTTGTTTCTTAAAATAACTTCCGTTAAAATATGCATGCAAGAATTACATACCTCTCCATTCTCCCTCTGTAATTTTGATTTTATGGACAAGGAACAGTTGACATCACTGGTTTTTCTTAATTCTTAAAAGAAAAGGGAAAATAGGGAACATCTGTGAAAAATGTGAAAAATTTTGCATATGCAGACTTGAAATACTTAGTTGCAGTAGTAGACCAAATAAGGAACAAAAAGTTACAGATACAAAAAGCATCGAAGAGTTTACAATACAACAGTCTAAAATTAAGAAACCACTATGTCTCAGAAGACTCATATTTTTAACTGTGAAATGAAACTCAGCTGGTCCATCTAGATTTGTTTTTCCCAATCTGTGATTTACAATTTAGTGTCATTCATTAATTTTGTCTACTTTATAAAAGAACAAAAAATCAAAACCCCTCAGCGAAATTAGATCAGATCATCTTCTACACAAAACATAGGGTTTTATTCTATTTTAACTGACAGGCCTTATTTGTTTCTAAATTACAGAAATATTCACAAGTAAAATTTATCTTAAAACTTCTGATTATAATGGCCAGCTTTTGTTTGGGTGCACTGACTTCAGTAAAATTATTCTTGATTTATATCAGTATAAATGAGATCAGAGACCAAAGATCATATCGGTTTTCCAGTGGAATTCAAAGTAATTCTGTGTTACGCAAAAAAAAAAAAGCCCTAAAGCATTGTAATAGTAATAAAAAGAATGAAAAAAAGACCACAAAGTCAAGTGTTCCTATCTGAAGAACTGCCAGATTTAAGACTGCTCTATGCAGTTTCTCCTGCAGCCTGAAATCATCAGGGAATTTGGCTGCTAAAATCTAAAAAGTCTCTACGGAGTATGCGCAAATCTTGATTATATATTGTATAAATGTGCCGTGTCTATATGTCTGAAAAGCATGCCCTTTCATGTATCAAATAATTTTTGAAAGTAAGGAAATAATTTCAAATGAGAGGTTCCCAAAATCACTGGGAAAAAACACATTTTTTGCCTATAGTCCAATTTAGTGAAACAGCTGAACAATTTTGTTTGAAATTTCCTGAAATAATTCACCAGAGGCAATGGTAGTTATAGACTGTTTCATCCCCAATGGTGAAGATTTAGTGAAGTTTTAAGCAAGTGAGCATGAAAACTTATAATTGGGAAGTATTAAGTACCTCTAACTGTATTCAAGGAGAATTGCTTTAGCACAGACTGCAAGACATTAAAAGAATAAAATACATTCTGCCTACACAATCGTGATCCCCAGAAGAAATATTTCAATTTCTTCTACTCTAAAATGTAGGACAATTTACCACAGCAAGACTGTGAGAAAACAGCAAACTGTATAGCTGCACTCATTAACATATCTCCTTTACGTGCAGGCAACATCTTGTCTTTCCTCACAAAATATGAACTTGATAAAACACTCACGACAGATTACCTGTAGCGATTTGATGGAAAATTACTGGAATTGGCTCTGTTGTAACTAACACATCTTCATCGTTATCAGAACTGGAAACATAAGTGTTATCTACGAAAGAAAAATGCCTTGGATGGTGAAGTCCAGTTGTGCTCTGCCAGCCCCTTCCCACGTTGCCCATCCCACCCTTGTACCATAAGGAACTACTCCTCAGAGCACTCTCATCTTGCTGGTGTGTTTTTCTTTTCTCTTGAGAATGCTAACGAAAAGAAAAGTAGGAAAAGAATAGAAAATTTGGACCCAAATCTTATACAAGCAAACCCCTGGATTCTGATGTCATGGCTTTTATCAATCACACCAAGCACTGCTCTGAACCATCCCGCAAGGCTTATGGGGGTTTGAGCCAACCTTTTCCAAAATGAAGACTTGTTCTACACTTTTTTGCTGTGCCTGACACTAAAACTCAAGCTAGATCTCCCGTGCAGAGTGAAGGCTGCATTCAGAGTAGGGTGTTATCAGCCCATTATGCAAAATACCTGCGCCTCATTTTGCCTAGTCACATAAAGGTTGTTTGAAGTATGTTCTAATCAGTGGATAACCTTTGTTGTGCCTGATTCAGGAACAAAAAAAAAATAAAAATTCCCCCCACTTAACAAAAATGTTAGGTATGGATATGAATATGGAAAGTCTACCCCAAATTTTCTTAAAAAATGCAGGGATTACACTGAGGGGATGTGTGTTGTCTTTCTGGTTTGTTTTGTTTTTTTTTTGCTGTCCAACCAAATGCTTAGTAACGACAAACAAGGAGCAGCACGTTTTTATGTAGTATCTGCGGAAGCTAATTTTGCATTAATTGCTGAACTGCCTGTGAGAGTAAGAACATTTTGTTTTCTACTGATCTGGACTGAACTGAAACTTATGCTTTAGAGCAGAAAGGCTGACAATTAAGATAATCACAGATAAAGAGACAAATAAGATAACTGAAACAAGGACTTGATCTGTCCTAATTCCGAAAACTCCGGTCCCACATCAGCAAAGTGCGGGAACTCACATGTAATTTTAAGCATGCTGCCGCGACCTCAAAGCCTTTGACCACAGTGCTTCCAGCGAAATGTTGAAGACGTTAACATTAATTGAGCAGTAAATATCACTAATATTACCGGGTGTAATATGACTGAGTTCTTGGTTCTTGGCAGCCTGTAGCAAGACGGAGCCCCGGCGCTGCCGCCCCCTTCTCGCAGAGGAGTGCCCGGCTGCCTTTGCAGACCAGCAGCCGCACTGCCGCACACCGACAGGCGCGTGGGGCCTTCCCAGGGCGGGAAACTGCCTTTCTGCCCCATTCACATACATCCACCCAGCCTGACGCTACCCCACCACCTTCACCTGCTTCCACTCCTGCGCGGTCCCACGAGGTAAACGAGTGACCTGCGCTCAGCTCCGCGTACATCCGTCGCAGGCAGGCACCTGCTGCGGGAGGCTGACACCGCTTTGCCCTGGGCTCGGCACTCCAGTGGGCACAGCAGCCCGCTCCATCTGTGTCTGCTCGGCTACGCGCTTGGCACAGGGATGTGTTTTAGAGCCACAGCATCGTGTGAATGACATGGGGTTACTCCAGCCATCTGCCAGCATCCATTCCTTCTCCCACTTGTGCCTATCGGCAGGACAGACTGTGAACCCTGCCTTCAGGACAGCTGCATCTCACCCCCTCCACGAACCCCAGCTTTGCCTCTATTTGCATGCTCCACCTTGCTGTCATCATTTCGGTGTCACCCTCACCATGCTGGATGGCTCTGGGCACATACAACACAGACTCATTCCTTTCCCAGGTTTGGGAGTGTAAATTATTACTACAGAATCTAATGAGCTGGAATAACAGAGGCCACCACTTGGCTCTAAATATACCTAACACCTTATATATGGATGGGAGAAAGGAAACCCACATCCTGAAACTTACTGCTCTATGAAAAAGTATGAAAAACAACAATACGTGCTGTACAGAATAGACAATTACCAAGATATACATATATGGAAAAAAGGACTGCTCAATTACAGGTTTTATAGATTTTAATTATATTTTTATGCCCATTGTCATTCTTTTTTGGCAGCTGGATAATATGATTTTCACTGCCAAGTTCTTATTTTCCTTTTCTATTTGGCACCCATAACGGTGTTGGGTTTTTTTTTTCCTTCCATCAGTCTAATGAAACTTGAAATTAAGATACTGGCTTTTGTTTGCTTTCTTCAACACCCAGTTGCTAACACACTATACCCGGGAGCACCTCCCCTCTTAAGCAGAGGACCTAGTGCCTGGACCTAGTGGAGGGATGCAGCAAACCACTTGGTGCCAAACCGGTTCTCTCCATCTCTGCTGCAGTCTAACGAGGTCTAAGAAAAGGATGTTTCTGTTAACACGTGTGTAACCCAGAAATCACTGGGATAAAAGACTACAGCAGTTCTACAAGTTTATCGCAGCCAACACGTATCACTCAGAACATATATTCATTAGCAAAATGCTTGCTGCTGTAATGGTTCTCACAGGAGTCATGATCCACTCATATTAATGGGACTTTAGTCTACTCATTGATGTTATATTCTATAACTGCTCCTTAGGAGCATTATTTTTCCCCAGTTGTGTCAATGTTATGAGAAAATAGTTACAGACATATTTTGCTGGAACTGTTATTACCTGCCTCTAAAATTTTCAGTGATATTTTCACAATTTCAGCAACGTATATACAACTGTGAGACATTACTGTCTCAACACTATTCCTATTAACATCTTCAGTGTGCCTTTGTGAGCATATTTTTAGCTTTCACTCATAATTATGAAACATTCAAACACATTCCATTATTGAAAGTTGTCATGTTATATTACAGTTCCCATAGATATGATTTAATGCTCAGCTGTTTGTAATCTTTTGATGCTTTATGAAGCAATTCAGCAATAGCGACACACTGTTATCAGTGCCAAAGCGGTGATGCTGCATACATAACAGCAATGCAGGGAACTAGAGCATATGCAGTACCCAAAGCTCTTCTTAGAGTATCTAAAATTTACCTGTGGTGGTATTACTTTTAGCTGAATGAACATCATTTGTATAGTAACTTAATCAGTTCTACTTTCATATATTTATTGCATGCATTAGCAATTTATCTGATGATCAAATCTGACAGCCTTCTCTCGCATTTCCAAATTTGATCCACTGTGTATTACACACTCTTAATCTCCCGAGGATACAACCGTGGTATGGTGATGCACTAACGGACTTAAACCTTGACCTGTAAAGATTTGTCCTGCGAGAAATTTAATTTGATGAGCAAACGTTGTGCTGAACTCTATCAACTAGCAGCAATACTTGAAGATCATCTCCCAGTCGAGGAGGAGGAGACTTGACACCCTCATACCCTGACATGTCCCTGAAACATCCCTGAAAATACACGCCAGGGAAGAGAGCCACAGTCAGCAGTAATGTTAAGTCAGAGATTTGGGACGGAGAGAGGAGACAAAGAATCTGGCTCACAAAGTCAAAATGAGTATTTTAGGATCAAAGCTGTAAAATGGCAAAGAGTCATTATCATTCCTAACACACTAAACACCTCTTCATCACAAAGCAAACATAGATCCTGCAAAAGCTTGAGATATGAATGAAATCAACTCTTCCAAAGCCTCGATCAGTAAACATGTGCAGCTGGTTTACGCCCCCCTCACCAAGTTAGCTACAGAGTAAAATGTTCAAATTCTGTCTGGCTTTAAAATGTAGGGGGTGATGGCAGAGAATATTCATTAGGTTTTAGAGCCACCAAAGTCACTCAGGCGTGTAGGCCATCAGGGCATGCTGAAAATAGCATCTGTAAGGAAAGCTTGAGATTTGTCAGACAGAATTTTGCCAGGAGATAAGATCTCATGTGCTGTGCGAGTAACTGCTGGTTCAGTGCTCCAGCTTGCTATTTAGTTAGGGGTTCCCAAAGATCAAGTTTTGTGCCTTCATCATAGTTCAATCTCTGAAATGAATACATCCATTACTGATGTTTAATAAAACAAACTATTAATAACATATGATGCAGGTTTTTTTCAGGTATTTGTCCTCCATTCATTGTCAGGTCAATGTTGTAATCAGTAAATTAATTTGTCACTGGTATGACTGTGTATTTTATGAATCTCAGTTTTTCCTCTTACTGCATGTTGAATAGATTATTATTAGCAGCTGTTTTCCCTCCAGTTTTTACTGGTAAAAGAAAATCTCTCATGAAGGTTGTTAGCATTCTTCCACATAATCCATTGCATTTAGCATCACTGCTGATGCTGATTTCTCTCTCTATCTGCTTCAACATTCTGGTGTTCTGAACAGACATAGTCTACTGCTTATCAGTGAAGAAGATCAAAGCCTCCTTTAGAGATTCTAAAAGAAACAAGAAACATTTCTTTTAGAAATATTTCAAAGATGTTACGGATAAAGATCAAAAAAGGCCAGAGGTACTCACACTATTAAATACTCCCAGGTCCAAAATACACAGTGTGGTGCAATCCAACAGTACTACCATGTACCTTTGCTTGCACTGGCCTGCCTGCCCTCATCCCTGCTTCCCTCTCCTGCTTCTGCTAACCTCTGTGCCACCTGAAGTGTCTGTGCAGTCTCTCTGTGAAGGAAATCGGGGAAACAAGACAGCTTTTGCTCTTGCCTGGTTGATTTTCATGAATAATTCCCCTTGTCCAGATTGGCCACACAGTTACGCAAACGCTTTTGCCAACCCAGCTCAGAGTGTGCACGGCAGGCAGGACGGAGCAGCTGGGAACAGCTCCGCAAGCTGACGTTACCGAAGACATACCCATACACAAACCCTTGGCTCCAACAGACCCTGAGAAGCACCAGCGAACAGTCCGTGGGCTTAACTGGAAGAACGTGAGCAGTCTCATTAAGGTCTAACGCAGAAGTGCTTTTCCTGTCCCCGTGCCAGACCGCTCAGCCTCTGGAAAGATCAAGCTTTATCTACCACGCCAAAGAGGAACCGGGCGCTTTCACACTCCTGTCACCGCTGGCCCCAGACATGAGAAGCATCACAAGCTCTGGTCTCTGTACACTTGTGAACCAGGTTTTCTCACCCTGCCCCAGATGATAAATGTCGCTTGAAAAGGAGAAATGACTGTGAAAATAATCTAACAAATGGAAAATGACTAGCACAAGGATGCACCTGGAAGACATCAACACCCTTTCAGATATTCTGATCTGAGTATGGCAAATTGCGGTAACATGCGTACATGTGTCATGGACAAGAATGGTGTACTGTACCTGGGTAATCCTCAGAGACGTGCACTGAATAGGACACACTGTAAAAAAAAAAAAAAAAAAAAGACACAACAGAATTAATAACAACAAAATTAACTGCTGGCATAACATTTTTTTCCTACTCCTGTATTATGTTATGTTTATTTATAGGTTCCTGACAGTTTCCAGGACAGAAGGTAACAGCTACTTTGGTGGCTTTTGAAGTGCTCAGCTGAAAAAAAAAAAAAAAGTCATGCCCATTTTGAAAGCTTACTTTGCTAAACTGGCACATCCCTGTTTCAACCTTCTTAAAAAGAATATCAAGACAGCATTATATTCACTTTAGAGTAACATTTCACAGTATCTGTACTTACGCTTCAAAAAAAAAGTTGTGCTTTGAACAACATAACTAGAAAAGCCCAGTTTTCCTGGCATCTGGTTCCTGTTTTTTGACTCACAGCTCAGTAGGAAGCCTTTCTCACTGGCTGGGGCACTTCTGTATGTTCTTGCGAGTCTCAGCAAAGGCTCTGGATGGCCGGGGCTCCACCCTCTCATAAAACCCCCATATTTATAACAATTGTGGCAATTTTATTTGATACCTGTACCTCTTTGTCAAGCTGAATTCAAATCAAATTTGAAAGAGCCACGGTCACGCAAAAGCGTAGCTTCACTATGTGGATTACCTGAATCTGTTTCATCAGAAAACAGTCATACAAACACACCATGCTGGTGCTCCAGCTCAGCCCACGTGGGCTTTTTTCTACCGCCCCGTGAGAACTTCAATAAATTCACTGCTGAGAGAAGGACTAATGGGCATGATGGGCTCAGTTATCTAACTACCCACCGAGTCCTTCTGAATTTTTTTAAGGTTAATGCACGTCTTCATTTTGCATTAAAAACATTCAATCCTGCAGCATGCTGAAAGCTTTCTGTTGTATAATTCATGTTCTTTCCACTTCTAAATCCTATAAATTGAGTGTGTCAACTTACACATTTAAATAATACATGGCATGTGTTCATGTCTGTAGTGAGTTAAGCAGGCAGAAAGATCCACTGAATCAATTTTCAGCGATGTACAATACACACCAAAATTTGTGAAGAGGACTGTGCCATCCTGCCTTTGCTGTTGTGAGTTAAGCAGACAGACAAAGGCAGAACGGCACAGTCTTCTTCATAAATTTTGGTGTGTATTGTTCACCGCTGAAAATTGATTCAGTGGATCTTTCTAAATTACATGAATACAACTTCCATGTAGACTATAAAATAAAACCATGTATGATTTTTTTTTTTCTCTCTCATTAAATGAGCTCCACTTTCACAATCCAGTGACCACAGGAGGCAATCAATACAAAAAAGTTGGTCCCTCACACTTTCTTCCGTAAGTCAATCTATTACCGCACAGCTCTGTCACCTGTTTTTGCACATCATCTATTCTAGCACAATTCATTTTATGTACTGTTTGAGCGAGAGGCAAAGATGCCTGTTTCTTCAACAGCTGCAAATGTTCACATAAATTGAAGCTTTTTTTTTTACAGCTGACAACAGATTTAGCCACACAACTCTTGATAGCCTCAGTCAAGCCAGAATTAAATCCGATCACTCTGTAAATTCAACATTTTGTGATTTTTTCTCTTTTAATTATTTTCAGACATTTCAAATAAGCAACATCTGTATCCCTTCATCTTGGAGCATTTTCCCTAAAGACTTGGGTATTTAAATCTAATTAATCTGACATGGCATAAAGTAACACTATTTTAAATAAGGATATATTCCAAAATAAGGAAATGTTATATCTCAGTGCAGTCATGTGTGGAGAATTTTGCCCTGTGGTGAAAAAAAAAACAAAACGCTACACCAAAAAAAAATCCCAAGAAGTCAGCTAAGGGCCTGTTCTTACCAAAACCCATCTTCTAGACGTTGTGTTTGTAACCATGACTTCTTCCTTTTACTACCAAAAGAGGTACTTTGGTCTTACTCTTTTAGACTGGCTGCTTGCACGCCTCTTTGCTGCCTCCAGAATTGATGTGTATGGATTTGTTTGACTATTGTTATATAAGATTGTCTTCAAGTGTGGACTTCTATTCCAAGAAAAGAAAAAATCTTCCTAGAACTTACCCCATATTCTAATTTAAAAAACATCTCAATCTAATTGAGAAACTGCAGCAAACCACGGAAATTCCATGTATGTATAAAAAAAAGTTCTTCATACTGAGATCAAGAACAGGGGCTGAAGAAGTTACTGAATTTCCACCAGTGCAGATATTCAAAACTCAACTCGATAAGGCTCTCAGCAACCTAATCTAACTTTGAAGCTGGACTTGACTTCAAAGTTAACTTCTGCTTTGAGTGGGAGGTGGACCAGGTAGTCTGCACTTGTCATCCCCCAACTACTCTATGTGCAGAAACCCTATGAAAGCGTGTTTCTCTTCCTTCTTCTTCATCATGTGGTATCTGCGGCAGCAGCAGCTGTGGCGATGTTAAATGGAAACCCATACGTAAAAAATATACTGTGGGTCTTGTGAGAGGGAACTAAAATGAAAAGCTTCATGAAGATGCAGGTTAGAAATACTATCAAATCAGATCCTGTAATGACTGTAAGCAAATTCAGGGTCTGACCTAGAGCCCACTGAATCTGGCAGTGGTAACACTAAGATGAACATTATCAGAGGCAAGAAAGGAACAGCAAAAATCACGTACAGAAAAATTATTCTGTGATCCCAGTAATAAAAAGTCCCCTTACAGAAAAAAAATTGCCCTGAAAATCTGATGTCACCTCCATCTGAAAAGCATTAATAGAAAATCTATCTGCCAAAACAAAATTAAATGGTAGTATCTTGGAAATAGTAGAGGAATCCAATGAGCCTGAGCTGTCACTTCAGCATTTAAAAGAGCACTTAGAAAAGCATTTAAAGGAGATGTGAACCAAAGATTAAAGAACAAAATCCCTGAAAATGGGATACTCCAATTAAAAATAAACTAGTTTATGTTATTTTATATACAAATAAAATAAACTAGTATTTTTTACTAGAAACACTAATTTCAGTTTAGGAAATGAACAAACGTAGTTTAGTTCTCAACTCAGCAGAACTATTAGTTTATTATGCTGGGTGTGTTTAATCTGAAACTCTTTACATTATTAGTTCCACGCCTCTCCCCCACCTCACCCCACCCCCCCAAGAAAGGGATCATCTAATTGTCTTCTTTCCATCTAAATGCGCATTTTCAGCACATGTTGGGATCTCTGTGCTGCCTCTCTTCAGCGTTCCCAGATCAGTGTAGTCTGAGAAGTATTAGTGAAGTACTGTGCCAGAGAAAGGTCTAGTGGGAACAGCCTTTTAGATAGCCCATTCGTCTCACACGTATTTAGACTCATATTTGGGGAGAATAAATGGCTTGTTTGAGCCCCCAGGGAGAGGTGGTGGTGCTTTGCTTGGGCTTGCAATCTTGTGTTAGTTACGTGCAGGCTATGGAAGCAAAAACTGGGAATAAAGCTATTGAACAGAACAAGACTTGTGTTTGCGTCCCAGCTTGCCCCTGTGATTGTCACACAGGATCACGCTTTGGCACATTTTTCTGCACTCATAAACTGCTTCCTACTGACTGTGCACCTGATTTGTCAGAAAACAAGATATACCAGGCTAACAAAGGTCTCTTAAGAGGCTCCTGTCCTGCAGCCACCCAAGCATTTTCCCGCTGACTTCAATGAGATTTAGAGCCAAGGCAGAAACACAGGACTGCGATGACTTGTAGCACCTTAAACAGCACAGACTTCAGTGAAGACACAGATGCTCGACGCCTCTTGGTGTTAAATCCTCTCACAGCCAAAGCAAGCCTTTACTGAAGCAGCTTTCTCGTTTAAGTACTCAGAAATGCAACTGGAATTAATTTAGGCCTGGCCTCCACAGAGAAGTACAACATGATTATTCCAGTGAGGGATGTGATTTTTCCTTCTGGCAATGCAGCTCCTCTGCACAACCCCACTGCAGTTACATTGCTATAAATACAGCTTATAGCACTATAATTTATTTCCATTCCCATAAACACATTCTAACCAGCCAACCATCGTCCTTGCTCGTTCAGTTATATTGCTTTAGCTACACGGACATAGTTAAACTCTTGGGTGTAAACAAAGCCTCAATGGTGTTATTTCTGTTTTATTCAGCTTAGACCCTCCGCAGAAGGCATCCTACAGTACATATGTTTCTCGACCCTTAAGCTCAGAACAAGCTTCATACTAAAAATGGCCTAGTAAAATTTTTGTTATTTAACAAACAGTAAAGCACCACATGAGAAATTAGAGAGACCTGTCATGTTTCACTGCTTATGAGTTTTTAACGTAAACTCCTTATTGCTTGAAATAGTATTAACATGTAGATCCACAGCCTTAGTTTAGTAACAATTCTACTCACGGGGGACTCCTTGCAAGCATTTTCCAATGCCATTTAACCATATCTGTTCCTTGTTCAGAAAGATTATCCTGCAAAGGTCCATCTGCATTTGAGAACTAATTCATCAACTAGGTGGGGATCCACCACATAATTGCTATTTTTCAGCTAAATCTATCCCAATTTGATACAGAACAAGCAGATTCACCTGCATTTGACATTACTGTAATTTCTCAAAGCTAGTTACAAAGGAGTCAGGACTCCAGAGTCCAAACTGATTATACTACCAGGCAAAATATTACCCCAAAATTGAAGTTCCGGGGCAAAGAAAAAAATCCATGAAAACTGAAAAAGGCAGCAAAACAAAAGTTACTGTGACAAAGTACATCCTTAAAAAGGAAAACAATCAGATTCACCTCTTTACATCAATTTGTAAAATTGTTTCCTGTGCCTTGAACTGCAGTTTTTACCTATCATGGTACAAACCCCAGGACCAGACATGTATCCTGAAGCCACAACAGTGACGCTGGAGCTGGAGTGTATGACGCATCTTCCCATCAAATTCACGTTATCTCAACTCTCTGCTACCTGTAGTTTCTCTCTAGGAAAGAAATCCTTTAAGCTGAACTTCCAGCTGTTTTGCACAGCAGGAACAGCGTGAAGCATCTGGTGCAAGT